GAACACACAACTACTAAAACAGCAATAATTGTAACTAAAAAAGATCTAATTAAAAAATAATAAAGGCCAGATTCTAAAGAATTTAAAAAATGACAGTATCAGTATGCTAGTAGACCAGTACAGAGGATAATATAGAAAAAAAAAATAACAAAAACAGAGCTCGTCGGAAATAACCAGAATCATAATAAAAAAAAAAAAAGTATTCAAAACTAAAATAGTTATGTTTATAAGAAACGTATAAAGTATAAATGTCACCTAAATTACTGGATAACCGTGGTAAGCCCTATTACTAACTCTAAGCTTTATAAATTTAAACAAAAGAAGCAAGAATAGTAGAAAAATAATTCTATTCTCAACTAAACGCATGCTTTTAAAGGAAATCCGAACACACAACTACTAAAAATTCAATAATTATAATTAAAAAAAAAAAAGATCTAATTAATAAATAAAAAACAATAAAACAAATAATATTCTCTAAAATAAATATAAACTCACCAAGGTTTAATAAAAACTCACACACTGAATACACAAAAATTTAAACGTTGTTTATCCATCCGCAGTAAAACTAAAACTGATTTTAAAATATATTTTACTAGCGTGTGCAGGCTCGATTAACCTTGTATCTATTTATAAAATTGCATATGTTTCCTGCGACAGGGAAACGCCACCGTGAGAAATGATTAAAGGATGCAGATGCATCCGGTGACGTCAGAGTTCTCGTTACCATATTTTATGATATAGTTAGATTTCCAAGTTTTATTATATACGAGGTTGGTCACAAATTACTCATAAAATATAATTGCAAAAATTTAGAAGTTAAAGCATGATATTGATCAAAAATTATTCTCTTTGCTAGTCATTCGTCTTCTTATCTTTCCAAGTTTAATTATCTACGAGGGTAGTCACAAATTACTCATTAAATATAATTGATAAAGTTCACGTCACGTATCACACGTCACGTTATGTGGGACACGTGTTCACGTCACGTTTCACGTGCGTCACGTCTTCACGTCACGTTACGTGCGCCACGGGTTCACGTCCGTAAATGACAAGCTGAGACTTAAAAGTCCATTTACAGGAAAACATAACCAATTTTATAGCTTTAGCAATCTCCACAGGAAAATGGACCAGCTATTTGTTAAATGAATATGTAGAATGATAATTGTAATTTGGTGAAAATCAACATTTGTAATTATTATAAGTAGATCAGCCTGAACATCATCTGAGACTATCAGAGTACTATCCGAACACCATCAGAGGCTATCTGACCACTATCTGAACACTATCAGATACTATCTGACAACTATCAGAACACCATCAGAGACGTTAGGTTAGCTCGAATGTCAGATCAAACATCACGTTTTATATCGTTAGGTCTACGTCAGATCACGTTAGGTTAGGTTAGGAGTTCGTTAGGTCACGTTTTACGACCCTTGGATCGATTTTGACGTTGAGATGTCATACAATCACGTATGTCATTGTGGTAACGTCCACTGATAGACATGAGCCTGTTACGTTCGCCGCTAGACATAGGCCTCCAGCAAAAATAAACTAATTCCACATCTTCGCAGTTATTGGAACGATTTCATGCATCACGTTTTACGTCACATGCGTCAAGTTTCACGTCAAATTTCACGCTTTCGGCGACATTTTTGTCACATGTCACGTTTTGCAATAATACACTAGGTTAGACCAGAACGCGACGTTCACAATAGGTTAAGTTAGATCCAGAAATGCCACGTATGTTAGGTTAGAGCCATAAATGTTACGTAAAATACTTTTAGAAATTAAAGTATAAACGGTACATTTTTACGTGAAGACATCACGCGTCACATCAAAACGTCACGAATCACACCAAAAAACGTCACGTTTTAAAGTCAACACGACACACCTTACATATGGATAACATGGGAGTAAAGCGTCTTTTTCGTCTCTTGAGTAAAGTTAGCGATGGTTGAGCGATAGTTAATTTATTAGGTTAGGTCGTGCCGCGAAGCGACCCACCTAACCTAATAAATTAACTATCGCTCAACCATCGCTAACTTTACTCAAGAGACGAAAAAGACGCTTTACTCCCATGTTATCCATATGTAAGGTGTGTCGTGTTAACTTTAAAACGTGACGTTTTTTGGTGTGATTCGTGACGTTTTGATGTGACGCGTGATGTCTTCACGTAAAAATGTACCGTTTATACTTTAATTTCTAAAAGTATTTTACGTAACATTTATGGCTCTAACCTAACATACGTGGCATTTCTGGATCTAACTTAACCTATTGTGAACGTCGCGTTCTGGTCTAACCTAGTGTATTATTGCAAAACGTGACATGTGACAAAAATGTCGCCGAAAGCGTGAAATTTGACGTGAAACTTGACGCATGTGACGTAAAACGTGATGCATGAAATCGTTCCAATAACTGCGAAGATGTGGAATTAGTTTATTTTTGCTGGAGGCCTATGTCTAGCGGCGAACGTAACAGGCTCATGTCTATCAGTGGACGTTACCACAATGACATACGTGATTGTATGACATCTCAACGTCAAAATCGATCCAAGGGTCGTAAAACGTGACCTAACGAACTCCTAACCTAACCTAACGTGATCTGACGTAGACCTAACGATATAAAACGTGATGTTTGATCTGACATTCGAGCTAACCTAACGTCTCTGATGGTGTTCTGATAGTTGTCAGATAGTATCTGATAGTGTTCAGATAGTGGTCAGATAGCCTCTGATGGTGTTCGGATAGTACTCTGATAGTCTCAGATGATGTTCAGGCTGATCTACTTATAATAATTACAAATGTTGATTTTCACCAAATTACAATTATCATTCTACATATTCATTTAACAAATAGCTGGTCCATTTTCCTGTGGAGATTGCTAAAGCTATAAAATTGGTTATGTTTTCCTGTAAATGGACTTTTAAGTCTCAGCTTGTCATTTACGGACGTGAACCCGTGGCGCACGTAACGTGACGTGAAGACGTGACGCACGTGAAACGTGACGTGAACACGTGTCCCACATAACGTGACGTGTGATACGTGACGTGAACTTTATCAATTATATTTAATGAGTAATTTGTGACTACCCTCGTAGATAATTAAACTTGGAAAGATAAGAAGACGAATGACTAGCAAAGAGAATAATTTTTGATCAATATCATGCTTTAACTTCTAAATTTTTGCAATTATATTTTATGAGTAATTTGTGACCAACCTCGTATATAATAAAACTTGGAAATCTAACTATATCATAAAATATGGTAACGAGAACTCTGACGTCACCGGATGCATCTGCATCCTTTAATCATTTCTCACGGTGGCGTTTCCCTGTCGCAGGAAACATATGCAATTTTATAAATAGATACAAGGTTAATCGAGCCTGCACACGCTAGTAAAATATATTTTAAAATCAGTTTTAGTTTTACTGCGGATGGATAAACAACGTTTAAATTTTTGTGTATTCAGTGTGTGAGTTTTTATTAAACCTTGGTGAGTTTATATTTATTTTAGAGAATATTATTTGTTTTATTGTTTTTTATTTATTAATTAGATCTTTTTTTTTTTTTTAATTATAATTATTGAATTTTTAGTAGTTGTGTGTTCGGATTTCCTTTAAAAGCATGCGTTTAGTTGAGAATAGAATTATTTTTCTACTATTCTTGCTTCTTTTGTTTAAATTTATAAAGCTTAGAGTTAGTAATAGGGCTTACCACGGTTATCCAGTAATTTAGGTGACATTTATACTTTATACGTTTCTTATAAACATAACTATTTTAGTTTTGAATACTTTTTTTTTTTATTATGATTCTGGTTATTTCCGACGAGCTCTGTTTTTGTTATTTTTTTTTTTTTTCTATATTATCCTCTGTACTGGTCTACTAGCATACTGATACTGTCATTTTTTAAATTCTTTAGAATCTGGCCTTTATTATTTTTTTAATTAGATCTTTTTTAGTTACAATTATTGCTGTTTTAGTAGTTGTGTGTTCAGATTTCCTTTAAAAATATGTGTTTAGTTGCGAATAGAAATATTTTTCTACTATTCTTGCGTCTTTTGTTTAAATTTTTATAGTTTAGAGATAGTATTAGGGCTTATCACGTAAGAATAAGTCTGTTGAATCTAATTTTATATTTTATACTATTAGCCAGTAATTTAGGTGACATTTATACTATATACGTTTCTAACAATCATAACTATTTTAGTTATGAATACTTTTTTATTGTGATTCTGCTTATTTCCGACGAGCTCTGTTTTTGTTATTTTTTCTATATTATCCTCTGTAAACACTCAGTATTGAGCGTCTTTTGTGTTTTAACATAAATTTTCACACTGTACTGGTCTTCTAGCATACTGATACTGACATTTTCTTTGGAATCGGGCCATGATTTACTGATAAAACGTGAGAACTTGATGGTATTATAGCAGTTATCAAGTATGTTTGTGCTAAAAGTGGTGGGGTAGTCAAGATTTTTGACTGTTATCCGGGGAGTGGGAACTTGATGGTATTATTCAAAGTTATCGAGATTCTTAGTGCAGAACACGTGAGGTAATCATGATTTTCAGATGTTCATATCTAAATTTTCTTTGGTGACGATATCTACGGCTATTGTTGACAACTACCTGATTAATATGTTATGCTATGCCCTTCTCTTTTAAACAAACTTAAAATGGAAAGCCTGTATATTATGCCTATTGTGTAGGTATTTATTGTACTTGTATTGGCATTGTGCATTTGAGGAGCCTTTTATAATACCATTCAGTTTTCCGTCCGACTAAAGTTTACCTTATACCCTGCATTATGGTATTTTCTTCATTCTGTTTCAGATATTCCTAGCGTACAGACGTGTGCTTTGGTGAGTTTAAATCTGTGCTCTGGTGAGTAATAAATTTTGAAAATTTTGATTTCTTTGAATATTTTGACTTTTTTGATATAACGTTTTTTGGAAAAAATTTTATTTCTTAATCTATTTTTGAATATTTGCTTGTTTTGTTTAAACATGATAGCTAAACTTATTCAGCTAATTGCGTCCATCTTGGGGTTGATTAGAAATGATTATCAGGAAGATAATGTTAAGAAAGGGCTGACTGAGTGTAGGAAAGCGTGTAAAAAGATACGCAATTCGATGAGATATGCCAAGACGATGGGTGAGAAGCAGCATTTAGAAGCTCAGATGAGGCATGTGAAAACGTTGAGAAACCATCTGAAGGCCGAACAAAAGAAGGGGGCTGGACTTACACCTATGAAGGAGACTGCTAAGCATAGAGTACAATGGGATGATTCCTTATCAGCGTTCAACTCAAGAATTCGAACTGGAGTCATCTCAAACCTCAAACACAAAGACCCCAGCAGTTTCCTAGTAGATTGCAAGGCGCTATTCAAACGTAGGATTCAAAACGCGCTAAAGAAGGATGAGGTAGTTAAAGTTAATACTGCTTTTGGGGGAGAATTCGAGATAGCTAGCGGAGAGAAAATCCTAAAAGACACTAAATATTTTACCACATCAAACTCTCCAATATACAAAGACACAAATCTTGACGAATGGTTTGAAAACCATGTGTCTGAACCCCTCAGCAAAAAGCTAGAGGAATTCCAAGAGAGAGATAGTGGCTGGGCACTAAAGGCTGTTGTTAACCTGGGGGTAAACATTAACAAATACACACCACAACTTGGTTCCTCTTATATTGAACTTCCTCCTCAAATAAAGAGAAAGGAAGCCTGCGTTAACGTCCAGAATGATGATGAGGCATGCTTTGCGTGGTCTGTCATATCAGCGCTGAATCCTGTTGATAAACATCCTCACAGAGTGTCAAAATATCCGCACTACTCGCAAGTGTTGAAGTTGAAGGGAATACAGTGGCCAATGACGATGAGGCAGATTCCTAATTTTGAAAAACAGAATGACATTTCAATTAATGTATACGTTTTGAAAAAAGATAAAGGAGATTTTACGACCCTCCCTACATTTCTAACTAAAAACAAGAAGGATAAACATGTGAATTTGCTTTTAATTCAAGATAAATATGATGATACCGAAGGTCCTATTAGATACCATTACGTTTGGATAAAAAGCCTATCCCGCCTCCTCTCCAAGCAGCTTAGCAAACGTGATGGAGCCAAATATTTCTGCGATACCTGCCTCCATTACTTTCGATCACAAGAAAAGTTAAATATTCATAAGGCATGCTGCAGCGGTCGATCAGATCTTATATGTGATAGATGCCTACAACCGTTTTCATCGTCAAAACAGGTTGAAGCTCATATGGTAGATTGTATAAGAATTAATGAAACAGCCATTAAAATGCCCGACGAAAGTCATAAAATGTTGAAATTTAAGAATTTTCGTAATAAGATTAAAGCCCCCTTCGCCGTGTACGCGGATCTCGAGAGTGCTTTGAAACGTACAGGAGATCCTAAAAAACCTCAAGAGCATATTCCTGTAGCAGTTGGTTATTTCTTTAAATGCTCGTATGATGACACTTTGTCGTTTTATGACTCATATCGAGGAAAGGATTGCATGAAATGGTTCGCAGATAAACTTAATCAGCTTGCTGAGGATGTTTCTACGGTGTTTATGTGCCCATATGATATAAATATGACAACTCAGCAAGAGAGCGATTTCCATGCAGCCACTCATTGCCATATCTGTGAGCAGCGCTTTTCCCCCAATGATAAGAAAGTGCGAGACCATGATCACTTTATTCCTGACAATAATTATAGAGGTGCAGCTCACGAAGGGTGTAACATTAATTACAAAGATGTTCATACAATTCCAATAATATTTCATAATCTCTCCGGATATGACGCACATTTTATTATTAACGATATTGCTACACACATCAAAGGTCCCGTAGATCTTCTTCCTATTACTAAGGAAAAATACATTTCTTTTACAAAACATATTGATGATGTTCGAATTAAATTCCGTTTTATTGATAGTTATCGATTTATGTCTTATTCTCTTGATAAATTAGCTTCGTACCTCCCCGAGTTTCCTAATCTCAAGTCCCAATATACTTCGCTTCCTGAGGAGAATTTCCATCTTCTAACTAAAAAAGGTATCATGCCATATGATTATATAGATTCATTTAAAAAATTCTGTGAGACTTCTTTGCCTCCTATTGAGTCTTTTTACAATAAACTTGAAGATAAGTCATGTCCTCGTCGACATTATCGTCGCGCTCAAGAAGTCTGGTCGTCATTCAATTGTACAACTCTCGGGGATTATGTCGATTTATATATGAAAACTGACATTCTTCTTCTTGCAGATATCTTTGAGCGATTCCGATCCAGCTCTCTTCGAACTTATAATCTTGACCCTGCTCACTATTATACTTTACCTGGTTTTACGTGGGATGCAATGCTTAAATATACAGGTCAAGAACTGGAGCTTTTAACCGATCCTGACATGCATTTGTTTGTTGAACGTGGTATTCGTGGTGGTCTTAGTCAAGTTTGCTCTAAAAGACGTGTGAAAGCTAACAATCCATACATCAACAACTATGACCCATCTAAACCAAAAACGTTCCTTATGTATTTTGATGTTAATAATCAGTATGGTTGGGCCATGTCTCAATATCTTCCATATGGCGGTTTCGAGTGGGTCGATGCCAATATTGATGTCCTTTCCATTGCTGACGATGCTTCTGAAGGGTACATTCTCGAGGTTGATCTGGCGTACCCTCAACATCTTCATGATCGTCATAAAGATATCCCGTTTTGTCCTGAGTCTTTAAATTCTAAGACTATGCTTCCTCCTACACGTCCGCGAGAGCAGACTAAATTAATGGCTACCCTACAGGATAAAGAAAGATATGTAATACATTATAGAGCACTAAAACAGGCGCTTGCAAATGGATTGATCCTGAAAAAGATACATAGAGTATTGAAATTCAAACAGGCTCCATGGTTAAAGTCATACATCGATCTTAATACAAATCTCCGGAAGGCAGCGAACAATGAGTTTGAAAAGGATCTTTTTAAGCTTATGAATAATGCAGTGTTCGGGAAGACTATGGAATCAGTGCGCAAGCGCGTTGATATAAAGTTGCTTACTTTGTGGGAGGGTCGTTACGGAGCTGAAGCTAGAATAAGTAGCCCATTGTTTAAGAATGCAACGATTTTTAGTGAAAACTTGGTAGCTGTTGAGATGCGTAGAGCTGAAATATGGTTAGATAAACCAATCTATATCGGAATGAGTATTTTAGACTTGGCTAAAACAACAATCTATGATTTTCAGTATGGATACTTAGCTGGCAGGTTCGGAGAAAACTTTACAACTTGCTATACTGATACCGATAGTGTAATCGTGGAAATACGTGAACAAGACCCATATGAGGCTATGAAAGAAGATTGCTACAAATATTTTGATACCTCAGACTATCGTAAAGACAATATTTATGGTATCCCTCAGGTTAACAAGAAGGTGTTGGGCATGATGAAAGATGAGAATAAAGGTCGCATTATGACTGACTACATAGGGCTCCGATCTAAATTGTATACAACAAAAGTAGCTGCCACTGAAGATGAGCTAAAAGAAAAACGTAAAAAGTTGAAAGATGAAGAATATGAGGATGAAGAAATTGAAGTAATTATTAAAAATTTTAGGTTAACAAAGAAGGCGAAGGGGGTAAAGAAATCTGTGGTGAACACGAAAATTACGTTTGAGGACTATGTAGAGTGTTTGGATAACTTAAAAAAGGTGTATGCTTCACAGAATCTAATACGCTCAGATAAGCACCATGTTTATACCATAACACAAAGCAAGATTGCGCTAAGCGCCAATGATGATAAAAGACATCACCTTCCGGAGTCATATGATACACTTCCGTGGGGGCATTATTTAATTGATTCTAAGATGGATGTTGATTAACGCAAAGTAATATATCTAATATATCAATAGTCATATTTTAACATTTATCCTTGATGATTGACTTTAAGATGGATGCAAATTGTATATTGTCGTTTTTATAACGTGGTTTATTTATTACAACTTAAAATATATCTGATTCAGAATTTATTAGTCATTATTTCACCATTTCATTTCGCTTTTCGATGTTTATATTATATGATAATTATAATAGATCTTAATTTTCTAAATATTATTTCTAAATCACGATACTTAAGATTAGCACATTTAAAAAAAAAAAATGTTTAGATATGACCACTTAAAAGATATCATGGACCACTGGCAAATTAATGAACCGTTCTGGTTAACTCCAGAGCTATGTGTTCGTGCAGCCTCCTAAGACAATCGATAACTTATTGGTCTTCCTCGATTTAGATTTAAGTCAATTCTTCGATAGCCTGTCCCAAAACAGGAGTCGGAGAATTTCCTATTTTTAAAGATAACCTAGAGTTATTAGCCCCCAATAATTCATTTGAACGCTATACAACATAGTAACTAATGAATTTACACCAAAGTGTCGATGTCTTAACATAAAAGATGTCCATCAATAAAGATGTCTTCTAAACCATGTTAAATTATGTGCTGATCTTAATAAGTTAAGTATAATTATTAAATAAATTATCATATTATGTAAATGACTTCATTCATACTAACTGTTTGTCCCATACTAACATTACCTCTCCCGGCGGTCGTGTAGTCGTACCTTCACGTTGGTGACTGCCGTTAAGAATAAATTTTTGTTTTTCAACAAATGTTTGTTTGAACCGAATTGACTACGTTCCTTTCATGGCATGCTTTTAATCATTTTTATACATGGCTCTATATTCGTTAACTTACTATCATTCCTTTGCTTAGATACTAACAGTAGTTTATTACTTATTACATTACCCATTACTTATTACATTTATGCATTACTTATTGCTTGACTGTCCTTGCTAACATTTTTATGTAGTATGTATAAAATATAGTATGCAGCTCGTTACTTTTCATGTGTTACTGTGGAGATTATAGAGTGAATGAATGTTGGTTTGGTCATAGTGTAAGAATGGTAAACGTTCCTATTCGTTTTATTTCCAGCGAAAGCCGCTGCTGTACGTTATATTCATTTGATACCTCATACGTAGTAATCAGGTTAATAGACCTTAAGATACGTTATAGTGCCATTTTGAAATTGATTTTGTTGCTTGTTTTTTCATCTCAATGTATTCGTTACCCCCTCCTATTTCATTTGACGCTTTATACGTTGCAATCGGACCAATAGACCCTGAGATACGTTATAGTGCCGTTTTGGCATTGATTTTGTTTCATGTTTTCATCTTGATGTATACATTATTCTCTCACCTTTCGTTTAACGCTTCATACGTTGCAATCGGACCAATAGACCCCGAGATACGTTATAGTGCCATTTTGGCGTTGATTTTGTTGCTTGTTTTTCATCTCAATGTATTCGTTACCCCCTCCCCTTTCATTTGACGCCTTATACGTTGCAATCGGACCAATAGACCCTGAGATACGTTATAGTGCCATTTTGGTATTGATTTTGTTGCTTGTTGTTCATCTCAATGTATTCGTTACCCCCTCCTATTTCATTTGACGCTTTATACGTTGCAATCGGACCAATAGACCCTGAGATACGTTATAGTGCCATTTTGACTATACCGCCATCTTTGTTTTTTTCTCTCTACGTGTTACCCGTTTTCTTCCCGTTCGTTTGACACCTCATACGTTGCAATCGGACCAATAGATCCGGAGATACGTTATAGTGCCGTTTTGACTATGCCGCCATCTTTGTTTTTTCCCTCTACGTGTTCCCCGTCCCCTTCCTGTTCGTTTGACACCTCATACGTCACGATCCAATATGCCGTCGCGCCTCCACCACAAAAAGAGCCAAAAATGACCAGAATGGACCTTAGATTTTCTTATGGAGATTTACAAGGGAAAATGACCGATTTTGGCCTCGAACTGTCCTTGCTCTTTTACTTTAATAATCTCGCATTCCTGGCCTATTCTACGTAGGACCTCAACATTAGTCACATGATCCACCCATGAAATTCTCAAAATACGTCAGAGTTAAGAGAAGCGAAAACATAAGAAGAGCATGTAATATAGAAGACATAAATGGATGGGTGACAAAACGAAAACATGAGTGGAACGAATACATCAGTAGAATAGCAGAGAATAGAATAGTACGAATAGCATGAGATAAGTCTCCAAATGGACGAATAAGTATTGGCAGACCAAGAAAAAGATGGTGCGACAATTTAAACAATTTAGGAGGTTAATGTTGAAGAAGAAACAGGCTTGAAAGCCTACATACTAGAAAGAAGAAGAAGAAGAAGAAGACATGTGTGATAATTTTGACTTTTATTACTAAAGGCTCCCGATGTTAAGTATATATTTTTCTACAAAAATCACTATAAAAGTGAATCTGGCTCACTAAATATTTTTATAATGTAACTTTTGTATCAATTTTAGGATTCTATTGGCAAACAAGTTTATATTTTTTAATTAGAAATCAAAATTTCTTTTTTGTATTTAATTTTAGCTTTAAAAAAATAATAAACACTATCGAAGACTGAGTGTAGAAAAAAAGCGTTTTTTTAACGCACTGATACCTGGCACATTAATTACACAAAGAGTAGACCAAGGTTGTCAAACTCAAAGCTAATTTAAGCCGCAAAAAAATCAATGTTCATAAAAACAAATATATTTTTTTGAATAGTACATTGGAATAAAGGTATATAAAGTTAAATTATTGTTTATGTCTTGATAGCTGGCATATCTTCTCTGCTATATCTTCCCTATTTCGGGAGAAATTTTTTTGGCCGAGACTACTTTCAAAATTATTGAACCAACGTGAGCGTTATTAATGCAGTTGCGAACAAAAGATTTATTTTCATTCTGAATAGAAAATAATTGCTCAAAGCCTTTTATTTGATCAAAGTTCATTTATTCGAGCATTCAACCTTATATCAATCAAATAATTTAATTTCTAACTATTATTCAGACTTATTTCCAATTAAAATAGTAAATTTGCATAAGATGCCACAAGAAAATAACTTCATAACAATATAAAGAAACCATTAGGTACTTCTAATTTCAGTACAACTATGATTTAATTTTTGTTGTTTATTGATAATTGATGTTCCGACTCGTACCACTAGTTGTCCAAATAATCCAGCCCACTCACAGTCCGATTTCAGATCCAACTACGGAAGTTGGACCACTAGTCGGACTAAAAGTCTAAACGTGAATGGTATGTCTATTATAAGTAATTTTAATCTAATTAGATACTTACTTCAAAACAAGTTCATATTGTTTATATTATCTGATGTCATTAAAAAACGAAAATGAATGATATTAATAGTCCAGGGAAACAATCCTTTAAGCTTGACTGAACTTATTGAAACTGTGTTAAGAATATTAGTCCAGGACCAGATAATATACCTGTACTTTTTCTACAGAACCTACCACTAGTAGGCCAAAACTACTACTGCAACTTTTTAATTTTATATGGATCAATAAGGTATTTCCACACATATGGCACTCATCAATCATAGTTACAATACACAAACCAGGTAAATCTAAATTTGAAGCAGAATCCTATAGCAGAATCTCTCTCACGAATGCAATGTTTAAGTTGCTAGAAAAGATCATTGCCAATCTACTCATGTGGTATATTGAACATAAACATCTTATTATAACCGAACAAAGTAGATTTAGGAAAAATAGATCAACATTATATAACTTAATATCATTGAAATCAGAAATTCACGAAGCATTTATATGCAATCAAGAATGTTTAGCCATATTCTTTGATGTAAAAAGGCTTTTGATAAAGTATGGCGCCACGATATTTTAACTACACTCCACAATTGGAAGATTCACAGTAATATGTTTGCTTTTATTTCAAACTTTCTACGGCAACTATATTTCCAAGTTCAAATCAATAACCATTTGTCTGAATCTAAATTACAGAAAAAATAGATTTTTACAGGGCTCGAATCTAAGGGTAGCGCTATTTTTAATTGCTATTAACAATGTTATGTTGTACTGCAATGGCACAATTAAAACTTTTTTATATGCTGATGATCTGGTAATTCTAGCAGAAAATAAAAACATATTATCTGCTGATCATCATATTACTGCAACTCTTAAGTCGATAGAATTGTGGTCTAACAATATTGGGTTCCAGTTTTTCACCACAAAAACAAAAGCTATACATTTTCCACAAAAATTAAATACACAAAAGCTCCCAAATCTATTTTTATTCAATTCTCTTATAGAATATACAATGAAATAAAATTCCTAAACATTATGAAATCTTTTTCACATAAAAATTGGAGAGCAGATTTTCCAACTGTAATAAATTTATTTATTATATATATTTAATTTAATTTATAAAACTGGCTGCTATCCTCAACAGTAGTTACGCTCTACCTTTATTCCCCTGCCCAAGAAAGTCAATGCAAAAAGATGTGAGGATCACAGACTCATTAGCCTGATGAGTCACACTTTAAAAATATTCTTAAAAATACTACATCAAAGATTATAAAAGGTTTAGGAACACTGGGATTATACCCAGTTCGGGTTTAGGCAAGGTTTAGGAACACGAGAAGCAATAGTAGCAACACAGGTGCTGGTCCAAAATTGTTACGATCGGAGGAGAGATGTGTTCCTATGCTTTTTAGATTACCAAAAACTGTTTGATCGTGTCCAACACCACAAGTTAATGCAGATTCTCAAGAAAGTTGATATATACCAAAAAGACATAAGATGCGTTGAAAACTTGTACTGGCATCAAACGGCACAGTTAAAAATAGACAATTCTATATCCAAACCCATACATATAAGAAGAGGCGTTCGACAGGGATATGTGCTTTCCCCTCTTTTATTTAACATTTATTCGGAAGCCATATTTCAAGAGTCTTTGGAGGATGCAGAGATGGGAATCAAGGTGAATGGAGTAATGATCAACAACATACGATATGCTGATGATGGTGTCTTAATTTGTGACAACATAGTCGATCTTCGACAACTTGTCACTATAATCGGAGAATACAGTAAGCGAATGGGATTAGAGATTAATACCAAAAAGACCAAATTTATGATCATCTCCAGAAACTTAGATGCACTTGAAAACTCCACCATAACACTGAATACTAAGTCCATTGAAAGAGTGAGTAAATTTAAATACCTGTGATCGTGGCTTTTTGAAGACTGGGCATCGGACAGGGAAGTAAAATGTCGCATTGAGCAAGCTCGAGAAGCTTTCATAAAATTCAAGAAAGTACTGACTTGTTCAGAGTTTGATCTTCAACTGAGACTAAGGTTTACTAAGTGCTACGTATGGTCAGTGCTGCTATATGGCGTAGAGGGCTGGACACTCAAAACGAGGGTTATAAACAGATTAGAAGCTTTCGAAATGTGGCTTTATCGTTGTATCCTAAAAATACCATGGACAGCGAAAATCACAAATATAGATATCCTTAAAATAATAAAAAAAGAACGCCAACTTTTCGAAACCATCAAGAAAAGGAAAACGGCGTATCTAGGTCACATCATGTGAAATGAATAATACCAGTTCCTCTAACTTATAATCGAGGGTAAAATTGAAGGCAAGAGAGGCATGGGACGCAAGAAAATGTCCTGACTCCGAAACATAAGGCAATGGACAGGGATTAACGACATACAATCTCTGATACATATTGCAAGAAATAGAGAATTAATGGAAAATTTGATCGCTAACATCCATTAGTGGATTTGCATCTGAAGAAGAAGAATAAATTTATATAGAGCTTTATATAAAACTGGACTACGGGTGTGTTGTGTATAACACCGCACACCAAGCATTGCTCAAAACTTTGGATACTCTTCAGAGTTCAGCCCTTAGACTTACTCTAGGAGCATATTGCACCAGTCCTGTGGACAGTCTACTCTGTGAAGCTGAAGAGCCACCCTTAAACCTAAGAAAAAATACTTAACTCTATCGTATGTCTCTAATATAAAATCTAACCCAAAAAATCCAGCTATTTATCATCATGCTGTTGCTAACAGGTTCCAGGAGGTCTATCAAAAAAGAAATAGGGGTCCTGTACCTTTCTATGGACGAGCTAATAGATATTTATTAGATTTTAATATTGAACTACCTCCCATTTATCCTACCTGTGAAAGAAGTTGATGTTTTCCTTGGGTTGTTTTCACTCGGCTTTGTAACCTTAAACTTACAACGTATAACAAAAATAACCAATTGTGATACCCAATTTTTTTTAAACTCACTTTCTCCAGGTTCTCACACAGTACAAAAATTACCATTTTATATATACGGACGCATCTAAGACCATAAATCGAGTCGGAGCATGCTTTGTGATATCACATGAACATTCCATCTATAGATTATCTCCTAAGACAAGTATTTTTTCAGCCGAACTATTTGCCATCATAAAGGCCCTAACCTTTATTCTAGAAAAAAAAACTTCAAATCTCTTATAATATCTGATTCACTTAGTTGTCTTACATCAATTTCTCAGATTTATCCCTCTCATTCAACATTACAGCAGATTAAGTTAGTTTTATACCGTATATGCCGAAACAATTTAACAGTAGAGTTCCTCTGGGTACCGTCACACGTTGGAATAGATGGTAACGAAAAGGCAGATAGTCTTAGTATCTAAAAATGCAAGTTTACGCAAGAAATTACGCAAGAAGGGTTAACATAAGTACAGTTCATCTAAATCAGGAATGACTTTCGAAATTAGTAGAGTAGTAGACTTAGAAAATTTTTGGAGAGAAAGAATTAGAACACACCGGCACACGTGATATTTTTAATAATTTTGCTGTACATCAAGTGGATGTCATAATTGTAAGTTTTTCAACGTCATTCTTAGTCTTAATAAGTTGTACATTACACAGGCCAACGAAAAAGAAGATTTAAAAAACTTTTCTTACAAATTTATGTGAATCCTATGTATGTTTTTGGCGCTAAAAAAGAATCTGAAATTAGATTTTATGTATCACCCACAGTTTTCCCACAATATGGCGCTGGCTTATTCTACAATATAATAATTTGAATTACACAAAATACCGGAATACATTAAAATGATACATTATTAGAAAAATGCCTTTTATCTAATGTTTATCTTTTCACAGTATAGGTCTGTAGAAGCATTTCAGGAGTCAATGCTTTTGTATTTTCATTTTCTTTTTTTTTCTGTAAAACTTCTCAAGTAGCTTTCTCTCCTATGCGAGGCACTCTGTTGTTCTCGATGATGTGACCTACAGTAATCACCCATCATTTTGGTGTTCCAACATCCCTCGTATGGTTGCTCCATCGCCTTGATATCCTGGTAGAAGCGTTCGCCTCATTATTCACTGACTGCAGCCAGATTCTCAAGGAAATGATCAAGATGGTTATGCAAAAGTTGGATTTTGAGGTTCATTCGACATTCCAAATCTTAAATCTTATCTAAAATCTTAAAAAACTTATCTAATAAATTAGCTGCTATAAGCTCGTAGTTAGGTCTTTCATATTACCAAAAAACTTGGTTACAACTTTTTGGAATCCAATCCAAGCTTCGTTTTCCTTAGTAGTAATCTTGGCCTCAAAGGTAATTATGCAATTTTAAATGTTAAATTGTGAAAGAATGGTGGGTGATACAGCATGTTTAATATGATTTTCGAACTGAGCACACCAAAATACATAAGATAGAGGTAATTTTATCAAAAAAGTTTTTTCATCGTTGGCCTGTGATTTGGCAGTAAACCAATATCGTCTTACTGTGTATCCGCAATATTACTGGTTTAAAATTAAGTCTAAATGCGTACTTCTGAGCGGCGAGTACTCTTCAGTAATATTCCTCTACTGTATTTTAAAATAATGACAGCCATACATTTGTTTGTATGATATAAGTACTTTTTTTTAATTATTAAACACCTAAGCTGTATTAATACCACTGATATCTGACAAAGTTGACCAATTATCAACTCTTTTTTGACTTAAATTACTAAATCATACATATATTCTAAGAACTTAACTCTATACACTAATTAACACTTTACACTAACTTAAATGGTTTTCCTCGTTTTAGTCTTCTTTCTGACACAATATTATCGGGGAACTGGATGGTCTCGATATTTACATAACTACGAAGCCATTGTTCGTGGCTATAACCTTATACCTTCTGGCTTATACCTGAGATCTTCTTGATAACTTTATCTTTATCTTCCATCTCAAGGTCTTTGTGAAAGGGTCGACATTTCTAATGTACCAAGGAGCTTTAACGGTGTTCGTTAAAAATTTATGCTGGAATCTCTGAATGATCTGTATATTACTTGGATATCCCCTCTTTTTTCTTGGGTAGTTTGTAAAATTTTAGAAAAACCAAGTTACTTCTCGGTGGGCTCTCGTTGAGTAAAGGCTCACATGATCGTATCTGTTATCTTACCGTCTGTGAATTGTTTTCTAAGTGTGTATACACTTTATATTTGAGTTTTTTTTTCCTTATACTATATTAGATTATATATAGTTATAAAGTACCTTTAATGTTAATTAAAGTCAGTGTTGGATACAAGTAAAGTATTAAGTACAGTATATAGCTTCAGTGAAGTACCTACGTCCATACTGGTCTCAGTATTCGTTTGCAAAGCAATTGTTTAATATGTTGGAACAATGCTTCTTCCCATCAGCCAAAACATTTTTTTTTTGTAATGGAGAACTAGTTCCTCCCTTTTCTTCTTAATATGGACTTTGTAACAAAGTCTTGCATATAAGTACTTAAAAGAAAGAAAATATTTTACAACTTCATTATCATACCGATTTGTTATTAGTTTGTGGTTTTTTATAATTGATTACCTATAACTGATTATTTTTTTAGATGTGCACAAAAAATTGTAACTCAACTGGAATTACCACTTATGAGAAGAGGTCATAAATACGAACGCATCCCACAAGAAGATGACGCCGAAGTTCCTGTTTGTGTTAAGCCTATTGAAAAGAATAAAAGATGGTGGAGCGACAGAACAAAAAGTGAAGAAAAAATTGACAACAAGAAAAACGAATTGGTTGAGAAACATATGGAACTGAAAGAAAAGTTAATGAAAGCCGAACAGTTAACGGAAGCTAGTACAAACATTAAAGATGAGAAGCTATAATACAGTTAAAAATTAGTATTAAGAATTTTAAAAATTTCATACAAAGCGATTTTCAATAAATAAGTTAAACTATGATTATATAAATATTATATATTTATTATATAATATTATGTAAACTATATATATATATATATATATATATATATATATATATATATTATATATATATATATATATATATATATATATTTGAAACTAAATTTTCGTTGTATAACATAGGAGGTAGTTACAAATATTCGTAATCGAGAATGGGTAGCAATAATAAAGATCTCATTTTGTAGTAGTTTGAAATTTTGAGCTCTGTTAAAGTAGCTTGAGATGAATAAATATTGAATTTTTTAAACAAACAATAAAAGTTAAATAAAAGCATGCAAGCATGTAGAACGTGTGTATCGAAGCTGAGGTATTGTGTTACTGTGAGATAATCCGTCCCATAGTTTTTATGAAGTCGATCATTTCAGAAAAAATTCTCCACCTTTAACTTTTAAATTTTTCATTTTTTGCATATCAAGAAGCTTTAATATAACTATAACTTTTACTAATAAATATGTAAAATGTAATAAGTAACGTAGAAAGCTGATTTTTTCTGAACGTTCAGTAGTTTGAAATAAATGTTCTGTAGAATAAGTTGTTTTAAAATGTATTTTGGTTATGTAAATCTTGATAAAAATTGTACATTTGTACCCAAGTGGCAACATTGAATGTATCCTTTGCAGATAATTGGTCATTTCCCGTTATTTATATTGATTATATTTTAGGCTGCTTTTAAAAAATGTTGTGACGTCACTGACAACTATTTTAAACTTTGGTTATAGTTTGTTACATAAATATTCTGCTTACAATAAAACTCATACTTCAGTAACTGAACTTCCTGACAATGAAAATTTAGTCACTACTGTAACATTTTATTTCATTCCGAGACAATACAAGCTTTGTAATATTTTTAAAGTTTTTAATATAAAATTGTTTTAAGATAGATTAAATAGAAATTTTAAAAGCCCGAGAATAGATTTTAAATTATTAAACTTATCCTGTTATTGTCAATTAGAATTTAAATAGTCAATACTTTTATAATTGTAATACTACAATTTATTTTGATCTCGGACTAAAACGATTGCAATACTACCTTTGACTGTAAAAATGGCATTAACAAGGTAAATCATCGTTATATATATATATATATATATATATATATATATATATATATATATATATATATATACTCTATTTTTTTAGTTTCCTCTATATTAGTTTGGTACTGAATTCATATCAAAAACCATAGTGCTCAAGGAAGATTTCTGTTATATTTTCTAATTTTTCTTTTTTCTGGTTTTATTATAACTGATTATTTTAATACAGTAACTACATAATTACTGTTTATATACACTTTTTAATAATGAGTGAAATTTTACCGAAACTCGAAAACAAAACGAAAGATAAAATATTAATCTTAACCGTTTTTTAAGCTACACATTATAAGCTAGGCCGGATCTGTGAAAAAAATTACTTCATGTAGATGTGAGATGAGGCAGTCTGATTTTTGCAGAAGTTGTGTAACAACAGTAATAATGATTGACTTATCCACCCACTCAAATATGTCGGGAATATTAATAAAAAATTGAAATATTTCAAAATTACAGACATCGGTTTTTTCTACTTTCCTTGCTTATAACTTTAAAACGATTCATTTTGGAGCAAGGTTATAATTAAATAAAATAGCGATAATTGAATTTGCTATAAGAAACGATCTATAAGATACTTACATTCTGTCCTGTCGGGCAGAATGAAACAACGTTGTTAAGCAGGCCAAGACCAACAAAGGATTGTAACGGCGGCGTTAGAAAAAGATACGATACCACTATGGTCTGTTTTTTAACCAGGAGGAGTAATTCAAATTTTCCGCGCCGTAATTCTTGTTTGTAATTGGTCCAACCGCAGGCAAGTTTACTCCACTAAATTATGACATATTGACACTAATGACATTTGTCAAATTTTAAAATTCAAAATTTATATCGACGATTTTTTGTATTTTCTGCGTTATTCCTTACATTCATAGATTTTTCGTTTGCATTTATATAAAGAACAGTTCTGTTCAGAACTATTTAGTGTTATTAAGATAACAATATGGATTCAATGCTAAGTACTAGTGGTAATTATTCTTCTCCACCTTAAAAACGCCGAGTAGATTTGGGTCATTTATCAACAAATAAGAAACAATGTTTTATAAACACGTATAAAAAAATGAAAATTGATAATTCTGGATTGAAAATAACAGCCACTGTAGGAAAAGTAAAACAGGCAGCAGGTTAGTTTTGCAGAATAGTTATTATTAAAATCAAAACTTACTAAAGTAATGTGCTAATTTTAGGTGTTGCGAATTCAACTATTAACCAAACAATTAAAGAATATAAGCAGACCGGTGATATGCGAATATTATTTAATGTGATATTTTTCTAGATGATATTTATACTAAATATTGTTTAAAGTATTGTTAAGAAGCATTTTAATTTGTTTTCATCCCAATAAAAGAACATTAGTAAAGTAATATTGTGTTTTAGTTTGATTGCATTGATGCAGTTGGTTTTGTTCTTCCTGGTTGTAGATAATCATAAGAAAACTGCACAATTATGCTTGAATGTAACATAATAGATTGAATTTGTTAAATTTTAGTCAATTTTATTTATTAATAACAAATGTTACAAACTCAAGAATCCAGCATTAAAAAAATTAGAAGTACACACTTCTTATTTATACAAAGTATCTTTTTGCATTATAGTGCTTCAAATAGAACCTAAAGATATTGATACATAAGTTAAACAAATCTATCTAATGAGATAACTGATTACCAAAATACCACACCTATATTTGAACTATAATTTATTCTGTGATGGAAAATATGAAAAAGTGAATTTTAAAGCAGTGAACGGGAAGGAGTATGTAAAACAAATTGCCTGAAGCAATTCAGGAGATTGGATTATTAGGCTTAAAAATAATGATCAAAGTCAAAGTTAACTCTTCTGGTAAGAAAAAAAAACCTATATTCAAGAAATTAATCACATCAGAATAAAAATATGGTCTACGCAGTTTAAAAGAACAGTATTTCAGAAATCTTTGAACTGTCTCTAACTTTTTGATACATGCATTTGCATAGCTTTGTTGCATACTTATTAGATCTACTTGCAAATTAAAAGACAAATTTATGTGAAAAACCAAACTTAGATGAATGTGAAAAATGTGAAAACGTCCTTTTTTTATTGTAATAATTGTAATATCTATTGGAAGTGAATTAAAAAAAATTATAATTCAAACATAAATTAACAAAGTTGGGTTAGAATTGACGTGGAAGGTTGTCCGATATTGATTACTCGATTACCGCAAGGCCGAGATAATCAACAAAACAGAAGATGTATTTGGTGACTTTTCTAGTAAGTTTCTTGGGTGTGAATCTGTCTTTTTGGTTTACTCCTCCTGGTTAAAAAACAGAGTATAGTTAAAAATGTGCTAATTTATTAGGCTTGCTGCAAAATAACAGCAAATACAAAAAATAGGGGGAAACAAGCATTTTCTTATTCAATGTTTTTTAACCACTTAGATTGCACTTAGGCCCGTCAGAATTTGTCTAGAAAATCTTTATAATATAATAAACTAGTCCACTAAATTTCATCAAAATCGATTAAGTATCTAACGTACTTTATGTAATTGAAATGGATTAGTTTTGCGGCCTCAGGATTGTTTTAACCCATTTAGGCTCACTTTTAGAAAACATAATTAAGCCAATGATTTTTTTAATAAGTATATATTTAATTAAACACAAATAAAGATAATTTGAAAGCTTCATGAAGAAAAAAACTACACGTCCATTTTTTTAACGTTGCGGTAACGCAACATTGGGACTATACGTGTAATATAAGTAGTGGTAGTCTTTGAAGCAATGGGAATGTAGTGGTATATTACATTTTTTACACATAAAAACAGTTGTACTTTCACATAGGCTACAAAGCCTTCTCCAGTTTTTATTATTGCGTTTAATCATGTGGCCCACATTATCAAAGACGGGCCACGGAAAAGAATAATCAGACTCACATTTTCTTCATTTTGTACAAATCGAATTTTAAAGTTTTAAGTCGTTTATTTTGGTTCAGGAAAATTAAATACAAAATATTTAGTTATCAGTTTACTATAAGACTTTTTAATACAAAAATGAAAAAAATAGTTTGCTAATTATATATGTACTTGAAATCTTCAAATTTTTAATTAAGGAGCTGGACTGTGATCTATTTTGCGCGTTAAATGTCGATTGGTGGATCTTCGGCAAATTCCACATCACTACCTTCATTCGTACCGACATCGGAAACTAGTGCTTGGTAAAAAAAATGTGCTTCAGGGTTTGTCAGGAATTGGGTTAGGCGCAATAAATCATGCAACTTAGCAGTCTTAATAGGCAGAAGTTCATTATATAGCTTCTTTGGTGGAACAGGTTTCAATTTTCTCTTACGTGCCTGATTTTTTGAAGGAACTAACACTAAGATATAGGCCAAAATAATGGTCTTTGTGTAACACAAACCGTGGGTGGTTTTTTTCTATTTTTAAAATCCTGATAGGCCTAATCGCCGTAGGGCATTTTGCCACATAAAGATGAGAAAAATGTGTAAAGACAAAAATGCTTTATAGCAAACAACAGTAACTGGTAACGAGCCACTCGCATTTACTCGAATTCTATAGCTATAAGAGGGTTGATTAAAACTTGCTTCAGCTTCAGGGTTTTGGCTTCTCCGTCTACCAACAGGTATAACCGTGACAAGACCTGTTAAATATTTGTTTTGAACATTATAGTCCCCTAACTCATTAAAATGAGAAATTAATCGTTGTCTTTCATTCGAAGGGATGACTTGAAAACAGTTGTAACGAATGAACTTACAGTTTTCCACGACCTCGTGAGTGTTGATACGTAATTTTTTCATTACTTCACTCATTTTGTCAGTTTTTCTCCGCTTTTTGAC